CGCGTGAGGGGTGTCGCCGAATTTCAGAAATGTGGCAAATCCTTTCTCTGTGTTTTTGGACCCTGACCCCGCCGATATGCGTGAGGGGTGGCTGGCAATTTTTGAAATGTGGCAAATCCCCCGTGTTTTTGGACCCTGGCCCTGCCGATTTGCGCGAGGGGTGCCACCGGATTTTATAAATGTGGCAAATTTTATACGGTCTTTTGACTCTGACCCCGCCGATCTGCGTGAGGGGTGCCGCCGGATTTTTTCTTGAAATGTGGCAAATCCATTTTGTTTTTGGACCCTGACCCCGCCGATCTGCGTGAGGGGTGACAATTTTTATCCTCCAAGAATTTAAGAAACCGTCCCGAGGGGTGCTAACCAGGGCAGTTTTCGGTTCCCCCCCTCGCGCGGACATTAACAATTTACAATAGGAAGCAGAAAGCAGTATTGTAACAATGGGAACTGGAAACTGGAACTGGTGCAGGGAGCAGCAAGCTTGATCGTCGCAGATAATACTTTCCACAAGAATTAAAAAAATGACATATGCGTTTGGTTGACACTACGCCGTTGACACTACAACGCCATGCTGTTGATATTTGCGCTGTTGATGTCACGCTGTTGAGATTACGCTGCTGGTCGACGCTGCAACGTTGTTTTCTGCTGCGCTATTGGTTCATGCTTTTGACACTACGCTATTGACACTACGCTGATGTCACCATGCTGTTGTCACTACGCTGTTGACATCACGGTGTTGACATTGCGGTGTTGGTCGACGGTACACCCAGATTTCACGCCAAGCCGTTGGTTCGTGCAGCTAATCTTATGCTGTCGACAGGACGATGTAGGTTGACAGTACGCTGTTGACACTACGCTGTTGACATTTGTTGCTACGCCGTTGGTTGACACTACGCTGTTGACACTACGCTGTTGACACTACGCTGTTGACACTACGCTGTTGCTACGCCATTGGTTAACACTACGCTGTTGACACTGCCCTGGGGTCCGTCCAAGAAGCCCCCCTGCCTGCCCAGAAGCCACCCGCTTCCTCGGGAGGCCACCCCCTTCGCGCCACCCCCTGCACGCGCTGCCAGCGAAGGCACGCAGACAAGCTCGAATCCGCTGCAGCAGACGCCGGGGCATACAACCACGCACTGCTGCCAAGGAAAGCGCCGGTTGGCCAGAAAGGTGCCGGACTCTCGCCAAAGTGTTGCAAAGAAAGACGTGTCGATGCGAACAGGCATGCAAGAGCAGCGGCGATACGGTAGGTTCATGCGGCGATGGTGCGCCGGCGATGCCGGCGAAGGCGTTCAAGGTTGAATTCCGCGACGCGGAAGCACCGAGGGTCACGGTGACGCCATTGGACCCGGCGGAATTCAACCTTGAACAATCGGGGCCGCGATCGATTCAAGGTTCAGCGATCGACGCGGTATCGAAAACCTCTGCGCGCGCCAGCGCCGCGCGAAGTTGCCGTATATACATATATATATATATGTATATACACGTCGTACATAGACAGAGAGAGAGAGAGAGACAGAGAGATAGAGCGAGGGAGAGAGAGCGGGAGAGCGAGGGGGGAACAGGAAGTCCAAATCTTGAAGGGCCTCCGTAGGTGGACAGCGGAGGCCGCTCAGGATCTTCGAGCGACGGGCGCGGCGTCAGGAAGCCAGCGTGCGCGCCGACGCGACGGGAGGCCCGGAGTGCGGCGCTCGCTGCTCGGTGGCCTCGCCTCCTGCCCAGGTACAGGAGAAGGAGGAGGGGGAGGAGGGGGAGGAGGAGGAGGAGGAGGCGGAAGAGAAGGATAGGAGGAGGAGGAGGAGGAGGAGGAGGAGGAGGAGGAGGAGAGGAGAGCAGGAGGAGGAGGAGGAGGAGGAGGAGGAGGACAGCCGCCCGGGGCTCGGGACGGGCTCGGGTCCTCGGGACGGGCTCCCGAGGCCCGGGCCAGGGAGCCGATTGACTGGTGGCCGAGTCTCGTCGTGGCCAGACTGCCCCAGCAAAGGAGCCCAATTCTCTTGCACAGCTGTGTGCTAGAGCTCGGACCTCTTTCTGTTCGTCGTCGTCGTTCGTTCGTTCGGCGTTCGTCCTCCCCCCTCCCTCCACAGGAGGAAGCTCCAGGAGGAAGGAGGCGACAGCCTCCTGTCCCTCGCAGCTCCTTGGTGCAAGAGCCAGGGCACGCGTGCCACTTTTACCTTCACAGGTGAAGAGGCGGTTCGGGGATTAGGAGGTCGGCTGGTGACGGGGGTGCGGGCAAGACCATGTGCCCTTTATGGTGTATTTGCACACAGGATCGTGGCCAGCATGTAGCCAGAGCACGATTTATAGTGAAGCGCAGCACGATTCTTGAAAACAAAGTGTGAGGAAGTCTCAGGCGAGACGGCTTCTGGACCAGACGACCTAAGGCGGCGGTCCAGGGCTCCCCGTCCTCACTGTGGGACTCTTCTGCGGTTTTTCCCATTATACAAACCCCCAGCGGAACGCGAGGTAGGGAAAGAGCCCCTTCCGTTCCTGATGTAGCGTTTCTTACGGGGTCCCAAGGTGCACACCACCACCACCACCTCCGTCGCCCCCCCCCTCTCTCAGGAAGACGGAGGGGACGAGGAGGGTGGAGGAGGGAGGGGGAGTGGAGGTGGTGGTGGTGGTGGTGTTGCCTATTCCTGGGCTTTGCATTCCTCATGATGGCACGATGCCCGTGGTCGCCCTGCCCCCTGTGCCAGCCCATACCCCTCCTGTATGGCGGGGCAGGAGCTGCCCTCTCGGCGGCTGCCACAGGTCGGGTGGCGCCAGCGAACCGCCTCAACGATGCGGGGCCCAGGATCGGACTGGGCCGGCGTCGTTTCGGAGGAGGAGGGCGAGTTGCGATCAGGTGATGACTAGGCGGGGCATGGCCGAGGTCATGAGATTTGCCCAGGGTTCACGGCCCCTCTTCCTACCTCGATGCGCTCCCTGGTGCCACCTGGGCCGCGCACGTGTCTCGGGCCAGGATTGGCGGCCACCCCCCTTGGACGCCACCCTCGTAGTGGCGGGCCCGGTGAGACAGCAGTTTAAGGCCAATTGGCGCCACGACTGGACGCAGCTCGGAAGTCTCGGGCGTTCGGACCACAGGAGCGGTCCAGGGACCGATTTCGAGCTGCCGTCGTCTGAGTTCGCCCTGCTCGGTGGGGTGGGGGCAGCAGGCCCTGGCCGGTGGTGAGCTCGAGGAGGTGTTCCAGCGATCGCACCGAGTTGTGCTGACAGAGGCCTCGCGGTCAGTGATTCGTTGATCGATCGTTTCATTGAGCCACGCACGGTCGGGAACACTTTTGCCCAGCGTGCTGGGCCGCCGGTTCTGGCCCAACACGCTGCGGCGCGACACGCAAATCACGTTCTGATCCCCAGGCGTCAACGCCCCAAGCTTTTCCCAGCCTCCCGCCCCGCGGAGCGCCCAAGCGTCAACGTCCCAAGTGTTTCCCAGCCTCCCGCCCCACGGAGCGGAGCGACACGCTGTCCGCTTGCAGGGCATGGCCTCTCGCCGGGGCCGCCGCCGAGACTTTTTTTTCGCGGCGACTTTGGTCCAAGCGGCGCTCGGGGCAGCCGAGGGAGGCTTCGGGGCCAAATGAGGCACAACAGGAGCAGAAGTGGCGCGGAAGGGGGGAGCGGAAGCCGCGGGCGGCATAGCGCGCTCAGACTGTGAACTTCTTGTGCGTGTGCGCTGGAGCACCGGCTTGCACGGGCAGCGAACCGCGGTCGCGATACCCGGACCTCATCCTCCAGAGGGGGGCGTCTGCGAGTGGAGACCGCCCCGCCGCCCCCCCGCCAGATTTTCCCCGCGACGCGGCGGGGGCACGCGAGCAGGCGCGACGGGCCAAGTGGTGGCGAGGAGCCACGTGGCGGGGGCTCCGGCGAGGCCTGCGAGTGGTGCAGGACCCCAGTCTCGGTGGCCAGCCCTGGGGGAAGTCAGAGGAGGCGGCCTCGGGCCTTCCGAGAAGATTCCTGAGCCTTCTCCGGAGACAGAGGCGGCGTCTCAGAAGGCAGGATGGCTTATGAGAAGCCCCGCAGCCTTTCGAGAAGGCCTGCCCCCTCTTACCTCTTCCCACCGGGGCGCGCCGCCGATAATCGCCCACTCATCACCGATGGGGGCCCATGAAAGTGCGGATTCTCCTCGGTGGCCTGTCGCTTGCCGATGACTCGGCGATGTATCGCCGATTCCAGCTCGATGCTCCGCCACCGCCGAGCCGTTCTCCCCCCCCCCACCGGTCCCCTCTCATGCCCAGGGCGTCCCTGGCCCAGGGTGCCCCGTGCCCCGCATGCCAAGGACGTACCTGGCCCAGGGTGTCCCGAGCTCTCCGCTCCATCCTGGAGCACCTAGGCCCTCGGGGCCTCGTGAGGAGGCCTCCAGAGCAGATCCCCAGGCATCCAGCGTCTTGGCAAGGCCGAGGTTCGCCCGTCGTTTCGGCCTCCGGGGGCCCTACGTGAACGGGCCCCGGGACCGTCAGCAAAACCGGCTCAGGACGAGAAGCCGGCCCCCGGGAGAGGGTCGAGGCCTTTTGGAGACCCCGTGTTGAATGAGTTACATCACGGGGGGTTGGAGGCCGAATCTGTATCAGAAACGGCTTGTGCTAAAAACGGATTGGGCAGGATTGGCATTGTTCAAACAAGTTGCCCTTGCTGAGATGTTTGTTTGTTTGCTTGTTGTTCCCCCCGTTCTTGTGCTCAAGAGGGGGGTCCTCCAAGACAGCGGTAGCTATGAACATGTGTCGCAATAGGGCGGGATTCCGCAGAAACAAAAAAACTACAAACAGAGGTTGTGCAGCGTGGCCCCGACCCCGCTTTTCAACACACGCCTGTTTAGATACATTATGCGTTGTCCTTTGCCAGCGGCGCCTCTGACAACACCCGAGGGGGATGGCGCGGCGGGCGGGCGTCGTCGCTCCTGGTGATGGAGCCCGGGAGGAAGGCCTTCCCTGGGCCTTCCTTGGCGGTCCTGGGCCTTCCTTGGGCTGAGAGGGAGGCGCGACTTGCCCCGCTGTCTCCTCGCCGAGGCGCACGCGTGCATCTGCACGCTGGACCTGCCCCCGTACAAGGACTACGAGACGTGCAGGGCCAAGATGGTGCAGATGCTCGCGCTGGGGCGCCGCCGCCCAGGGGGGCCGCGGGCGCCCCGACAGGTGGAAGAGCCGGGGGTTCACACCCCCATTGGGTCGTGAACGACAGTGGCAACGGATGGCTTCTCCATCTCTTCTGCGTCCGCGGGGCCTTCACGGGCCTCGGGGCCGTGAAGCAACGCCTCAGGGTGAGAGGGGAGGGCCCTGAGGGGGGGGGGGACGGGGAAGGCCTCGTTCGCAGAAGAACATGCAATCTGAACATAACTGTCTGAGCTCCTCTCGGGTTTCTCGGATCTGCACCTGGGCCCCCCCCTGGCGGAGCCTCCAGCGCCGCCCCTCTGGCGCACCCCTCGCGCCCGGGAGGGTTGCCCAGCGCCGATCTCAGATGTCCGCGCAGAGCTCAAGAATTTCGCGCGGACCTCCATCACTTGAGTTCTACTCAGGGTTCATGTTCCGCTCGGGACTACTTTGAGTTTGAACCCGCACTGATCTACCCTGCTGTGTTGCAGCATCTCGTAAGCCCCAGGCGAGCAGACTATACCTGATGAGTGCGCCTTCAATGTCTGTGAGTCGCATTGTTATGTGCTGTTGCGCATTCATTACCATGTTGCGTGGCGAACAAAACCGTAAACGCGCTAACGGTGTGTTAGGCATCGGAGAAGTAGGATAACCAATTGTAGGAAGGTGTGGTCCGTGGCCAAGCCACTTGTAGGAACGCGTGGTTCGTGTTTCCTACCATTCGCAGTGCCGTTTTCGTTCGATACATTCGCACATTTGAAAAGTAGGAAACGGTGACTCGTAGAGCTTCCCTAAGAGCGAAGCGGTGAAGCTATAGAGTAATGTCGGCGCGCTGGCGGGCTAGCTGGCCAGAACAATCTCGACGGAAATTTTGCAGAATTTTGGTTTGTTAAAAATTAATGTTTCGGAGTTTGAACGTTCGTTAGGGCTCTAATATGTTTTCTCCCATATTCGATCTCATTGCCGCTCGCCATCTTGATCTCAGGTCGATCGGGTAGATATCACTATCAAGGAGCATGTGGGAGGGATCGGCTGTCGAGTGCAGTCTTAGCATGTGCTGTCGGTTTTCTTAACTTAACCCGAGCTACATATCAGCTACAGAGCTGTTCGGCACAATAGTCGCAATGACATCATCAGGCGCGCTTGTCTCAAGTATCTAGGTGCCCGAACCCGGTCTGCTATCATAGCTGGAACCAAAACATTATCCGTATTTTGCTAGTTTCCTAAGATAGGTTGGCAACTTTCTTAAGTTAGCTCGAGCTGCAGATGCGCTACAGAGCTGTTCGGCACAGCAAACGAAAGACACGCATCAGGAGCGCTAGTCTGAATTCCCTGGATGGCCGAATTCGATCTGCTACCAGAGCTGGGACCAAACAGCTATTCGTACTCTGCTGATTTTTCAAGAGTTGATGCTATTGTTCTCTACTTTTAGTCGAGGTGTTCGTTGCCTTTGGAGCTGAAAATTTACGAAGCAGAAGATCACCAGGTACAGTCGCCTACGGTGTCGAGACGTCTGGATTTGGCCTGCAAGCGTAGTTGCGACGGGAAAATTACTCGCACTGAAAATATTCTACGAGAGATGATCTGTGTCTCCTGAATTAAATTCGTGATCTAGGCCAGCTAAGGAGCTGAGATGCACAGCGGTCGACAGGGAATGCTGCGAAGCATCAGTCTACAGCCTAGACGCCTGAGATCGGTCTGCTTCCAGAGCTGCAACCCAATAGTTATTTGCATTCTTTCGTTTTTATGAGAGATGTGCTGCGTTTCACCTAATTGGAGTTATAGGCAAGCTAGGGAGCTTGGAAGCAAACCGCTAAACAGGAACTTCCTTCTCCTCCTCCTCCTCTTCCTCCTCTTCTTCCTCCTCCTCTTCCTCCTCCTCTTTCTTCTCCTCCTCCTCCTCCTCCTCCTCCTCCTCCTCCTCCTCCTCCTCCTCCTCTTCCTTCTCTATCTGATCGTTCTCCTCTTCCTCCTCCTCCTCCTCCTCCTCCTCCGCCTCTGATTGTTTTCCTCTTCCTCCTCCTCCTCCTTCTCTTCCTCCCGCTGGTCCTCCTCCTCTCCTCCTCATCATCATCATCATCATCATGCTGCCCTTCTCCCCCTCCACCCTTCCCCCTCCTCCTGCTCGTCATCCTCCTCCTCTTTCTCCTTGTCCCCCTCCTTCTCCTCCTTCTGCTCCTCCCTCCTGCGTTTCTTCCTCAGCCTCCTCCGTCTTCTCCACCTCCTCACTCATTCTTCTCCTCCACGTCCTCCTCCACGAAACTGCATCTTCGCGCGCGCGGAACGCGAGATTGCTTCGCCCGCATGCCGTTCATGTATATCGCAAGGAAACTCTACGAGTTCCCGGCGGTAACCAAGGTTGACGGCTTACCGCGGGCTCCCAGTCCTGAGACATTTGACCATTCGTTTTGAAAATCCAGATTCTGATCACCGGCACTTGATCATGACGCGCTTGATGGTGCAATTCTCAGGGCTGTAGCTGCAGCGCACCTCTTAGGAGCAACCGTCGGCCGTCGGGATGCATGTTTCAAGATGATATTGTTTTGGCGAACTTAACTCAAGCAGAAATGCTCCAGTATTGTGCGCACGTGTAGTAGGTTATGGCGCGGCGGGCCCCCGAATTCTGAGGTCCGTAGCTGTAGTACTACTATCACAACACTTGGCAACAACAACGTCGTATAGAAACCGAAAATACATTTTTCGAGTTCCGAAGCTGATCTCCAAGCAAATTTTCTCGTCGTGTTCTGAGCTCTTTGCGTGTCAATAGCTCTACGAGTGCCCCGCCGGTAACCTGGTTGACGGTTCGCCGCCGGCACCTAGTACATGCATGGCATGCAAGCGAAGCAATCCCGCTTGCGTGCGAGAGAATGCGATTCAGAAACTGAGAGCTGGCGGCGAACCGTCAACCAGGTTACCGCCAGGACCCCCGTAGAGCTGTCAACACGCAAAGAAGCCTAGATTATGAGGAGGACGTTCCTTCGAAACTCAGCTTATGAACGTGCAATATATATATATATATATATATATATATATTATTTTCACACGTAGTCGGTTCCACCAAGTCACTACAGATGCAAACAATACTGGTTATCAAACAAACGGCGAAATCTCCCACAATCTTCAAAACACCGACCCCCAGTTGACACATTGTCCGCCCAGGCCGGATGGGCCAACTAGCTCCATCCTGCGTCGGACTTGCTCTACCTCATCGATGCCGAAAGCTCTATGATTTCAGAGCGTGCGAGGAAATACGATTTATAGAAATGTGACCCATGCTTGTGTCAGTGCAGTTGTTTTCAGCAAAGACCGCGCGGCAGTCCAACTGCGGGTGCGTCCCAGGGCCCTAGGACTAGGGCCAAAACAGCGGCGGGCAGCGTGCATGCCACAAAACAAGACAAGCGTGTACAACATACACACATGGTGGCACGGGCGGCAGAGGGGCAGGGGAGTGCACTCTTCACACTGGGTGAGTACAATGCTGCCCCGATGCCGCTCCCTCTGAAAGGGCAACGCTGCACGCAATTATAATGTATATCAGCCCACGGGCCGAAACACCTCAAGCAGATGCGGCCTGAGGCTCGAAATATAAATATGAATGTCTAGATTCACCAATCCAGACTGTCAACTCAAAAGATATGCATGAGACACCTCAAGCAAGGTGCGGCCTGAGGCTCAAAATATAAATACAAGAATATGAATATCTGGATACACTACTCCAGACGATCAACTCAAAGGATATGCATACATCACCGTAGCCCTCACTAGGTCCATCAGCAGCTGCAATCAGGACCTCACGGGCTCGCAGGCCCTGGAACGGCGACCCGACGCTGGGCCTTCCGCTCCTTGGCTCGCTCACGCTGTCCGCGGCGCAGCCGCAGACGGTGTGCCTCCTCATCCTCTTGCTCAGCAGTAGGCACCATGCTGAACAGGCCGTGGCGGAGGAACTGCGATAGTACCTCGTTAGGCTGCACGGCTTTTGTCAACACATCCGCTAGCATGTGGCTATTAGGCAGCCACTTGAACTTGATGGCCTCCTGCTCTATCAAATCCTTGGCCACCAGCAAGTCAATGAGGGTCTGCCGAGACACCGGCATCGACCCGATCTTGGACGTGTGATCGTAGAGCGACTTCGCATCCGTCACGAGCGCCCCTGGAACCTTCAGCGCCAGCCTCCAGTCCCCTTGCAAGGGCGGCTCCCCGTACAAGATTGCCTCAATCAGCAGCCTGAGGTAAAGCTGCCGATCCAAAGCCACGGACATAGCCGCAGATTCTGCGGCCATCGTAGATCCAACAACTCGTGTAATAGTACTGCTCTGAAACTCCACTAGACAGCATACGGTTAGCTCCTTCAAAACTCGGGTGTCCGTAATCATACTCATGAACCCCATCTGGCTCTTACAGCCGGGTTCCTTCGCAAACGAAGCGTCCATAAGCGTGAGCACCTGCAAGCGCTCGATGTCCACACGGCGGATCCGGAGAGTCGCAAGACCTCTCTTGTCGTAGTCCTGAAGCCGGTCGATGATGTCATTGAGCACTCGCAGGTGCAGCAACCTCCGACCTTTCGGATCCTTCTGTGCGAGCGCCGAGACACTATACGCGAGTTGTGGCACCACGCGTGCGACAGGCCACCGCACCTTCTGGAGCAAGCTCCGGTAGTCGTGGTGCTCCTCGGGAGTCATCTCCCGCTCCTCGTTGTCACCCCTTGCAAGGGGGTGCTTCGTCAGCTTGCCGATGTACTCGTGCATGCTGATCTCGATGTGATCAGGGTGGCGCCACCACTCCTCACCGAGATAGGCGATTGCCTCCTTGTCGTTGCCCTTCTTCCAGTGCTTGATGTTGAAACGACTGTTGATGTTCGCCTTCACCTCCTGGTACTGGGGATCGTGTGGGTCTCCAAACAGCATGCCGTCATCGACGTGCAAGGTCAACATAGCGATCAACTTGTCTTTCATTCGATAAACGAAGACAGCTCGAGCACAGCGCAGCTCCACGAAACCGACCTCGTCCG